GGTCAGGAGGAGGTCATGTGAGGAGCGGAGAGTACGGTTTGGGTGATATTTGGAAACAAGTTTGGTGATGTAATTTGGGGCAGAGTTTTAAATGATTTTATATGTTATTATTAATGTTTTGAATTTTATTCATTGGGCAATGGGAAGCCAGTGTTAGGGATTGGCAGAGAGGGGTGGCAGATATGGAATGGTTAGTAAGGTGGATGAGTCTGGCAGCAGCATTCACGATAGACTGAAGAGGGGATAGCCTGCGATGAGGTAGGCCAATGGGGAGGGAGTTGCAATAGTCAAGGCAGATATAACAAGGGAGTGAATAAAGTTGCTTAGTGGTTTCCGAGGTTAAGAACGGGCGTATCTTGAAGATGTTGCGGAGGTGAAGTCTACAAGATTTGGACAGTGATTGGATTTGGGGCTGAAAGGACAGATGGGAGTCCAGGATTACACCTAGTACCCTGGCTTGAGGGGAGTGACTGATGGTTGTATTATTGATCTTGATGGAGAAGTCAGGGGGGGGGGGGGCACGGACTGGAGGGAATACTAAGAGCTCAGTTTTGGAAAGATTGAGTTTGAGGAAGTGGAGTGACATCCATGCCGATATGTCACTTAGTAGGTTAGTAATCTGAGAGGAGACTGAAGGGGTGAGGTGAGGAGTAGAAAGATAGATTTATGTGTCATCAACATAGAGATGGTATTTAAAGCTACAGGAGTTTATCAAGTGACCAAGGGAGGAGGTGTAGATGGAGAAGAGAAGGGGTCCAAGGACAGAACCTTGAGGGGACCCCTACAGAAAGAGAGAGTGAAGAGGAGGAGACAGAGTTATAGGTAATGCTGAAGGAGCGCTGTGATAGGTAGGAGGAGAACCAGGAGAGAGCAGAGTCTTGGAGGCCAAGAGAGTGGAGTTTTTTGAAGAGGGGGGATGGTTAACAGTATCAAAAGCCGCAGAGAGGTCAAGTAGTAAGAGTACGGAGTAGTGGCCATTGGTTTTATCAGTTAGTAAATCATTAGTGAGTTTTAGCAGGGCAGTTTCAGTGGAGTGTAGTGTGCGAAAGCCAGACTGGGTCAAGAAGGTTGTTGTCAGTGATGTAGGAGCTCAGGCGATTGTAGACTAACGGTTCTAAGAGTTTAAAGGAAAATGAGAGCAGGGAAATGGGTCTTAAGTTGTTCAGGTTCGTGGGGTCCAGCGAGGGCTTTTTAAGCATGTGAGTGATTTAGAGGGGAGGGGAAGGCACAATTAGAGAGGGAGAGATTGAAGATGTGAATGAGGGAGCATAGAATCGAGGAAGAGGGTGACCGCAGTAGTTGAGAGGTCACAGGATCCAGTGGGCACATTGTGAGATGGGATTCTGAGAAAACTTTAGTGACCTCTTCAGTAGTAGCAAGGTCAAAAGAGGAAAGTGTTGAGGCAGGTTTAGTGTAGGGTATGCTAAGTGGGAAAGATGTCTGTGCAGTGGAAATGCCCCTACAAATTGCTTCAATCTTGTTTTTGAAATTATTTGCAATCTCGTAAGCAGTGAGTGAGGTGCTGGGTGGAGGTGGAGAAAGTAGATAGTTAAAAGTAGAGAAGAGACGATGAGGACTGGATGACAAGGTATTAATAAGAGTGACAAAGTAGGTTTGTTTGGCAGCATGGAGGGAGGAATTGTATGTTAAGAAAGCAGATTTATATAGGGTGAATGCTTGGAGATATTTGGTTTTACGCCACAATCGCTCCAGCGCACGACTATGTCGCTTAAGATTTCTGGTGTCATCAGACTGCCACGGTTGTAACAGTCAGGGCTGATATTTCATGTAGTTAGAGGAGCAAGTGAGTATAGTGTGGATGAAAGTGAACTGTTGTAGACAGCAGTGGCCAGGGCAGGATAGGGGAGAGATTTTGTCATAGAGGCAGTCAGTTGCAGAGTGGAAAAGAGAAGGGTTTAAGTTGTGAAGGTTTCTGCGGGTAATTGTTTGCTGTCTGGAGGGAAAGGTGTTTGAAGACGAGGACACTGTGAAGGTGATGAGATTGTAATAAGAGACAGGAAAGGGGGTGTTTGTGAGGTTGTAGGGAGTGCAAAGATGGTAGAAAACAAGGTCTAATGTATTCCCATCAGAGTGAGTGGAGGACTGCATCCATTGTGTTAAGGCAAAAGATGAGGTTATGTTGAAGAGTTGGGATGTTGCCGGGTTGTTCACATTAATGGGGATGCTAAAGTCTCCAAGAATGATAGTGTGTATTTCAGAGGAGAGAAAGTAGGGTAGCCAGGCAGAGAAGTCATCAAAAAAGTGAGATACCGGTCCAGGAGGCAGATAGATCACTGCAATCCTCAGAGAAATGGGAGAAAACAGCCGAATACAGTTTCTCGAAAGAAGAAAAGGATAGAGAGGGAGGGTTAGGGAGGACTTGAAAGGTGCTCAGTGGGGATAGAAGCAAACCAACTCCACCACCTTTCTGAACACTGGGTCTTGGTGAGTGGGTCCAAGCCTCCATAGGAAAGTGCTGTGGGAGAAGCCAGGTTTCTGAAATTGCTAGTGGGTTAAGGGAGACAAAAATGTCATGAACAGAGGTGAGCTTATTACAGACAGAGCGGGCATTCTAGAGTGCACAAGAAAAAGGGAGGGTGGTTTTTAGAAGCACGGGGATTGAGATTAAGTTGAGCGGATTGTGGCTATTCTTGGAAGAAGGAGGGTGCATGGTGTGGGGGTGAGATACTGGAGGACCAGGGTTTGGGGAGATATCCCCAGAGGTTAGAAGAAGGAGGGTGAAGAAAGTAAGATGAGAGCAGGATGTATATGAGTGTACATGCCTTCCTGTCCTGGAGTTTGGGTCAGCAGGTGAGTAAAGTATCAGCAGGAGGTGATGAGAGCAGAAGTAGGGAGATGGTAGCATTGAGAGTGAGATATATAAGCTTTGGAGCAGAGCAGAGGGGTAAAGAAATAAGATTTTGGTAACAGAGGATAGTATGAAAAGGAGGAGTAGAGGCGGCATATTAAAATGTATATGGAGTGGGACTCAGACTTGTAGGAGATGTTTCCCAGGGTGTTTGTTTGCAGTCCTTCCAACGTGCAGTAGAGTTCTTTGTTGTATCCTCCTGCTGCTTGAGTTATCCTGTTTAGTTAAACTGCTGCATTCAACTGCTACTTCACACTCCAGCATAAATCGCACTCACACAAAAAAAACTGCACCCCCTTTTGACTGTGCCCCCTATCTGTGACCTCCCCTATGAGCAGGCCTAAATTTATAGGGAGATGGTCAAATGAGCAACTCTTTTCCACCCCAATTAGGAACTGATAAGGATCACATGAATTGGGGGGGGGGGGGGGGGGGAATGTTGCTCAAAGGACAGACCAACCACACAGACACAGACCAAAGTCATAAAAGAAATGCAAGAGGAGGTGAGAATCAATCACCACAAACAAATCAAAAGATATACACTAATTGTTCTGAGTTTTGCAAAAAGTCTGTGTGTTGAAAAATTGCAGTTTAAGGTGGAGATGAGACAGCAGCATTTACCTGTGAAAATGCAGAGAAGACATGATCAGGGTGCTGTATTCAACTGCTGCTTCACACTCCAGCATAAACCACACTCACGCAGAAAACTGCACCCCCGTCTGACTGTGCCCCCCATCTGATAGCACCAGTTGCACAGCTCTTATAAACATTAAAGCATAAGACCGCCACTCACCATAGCCGATCCTTATGAGGCGGTATCAAAAAATGTTTTGAGACTAGTTTTGTAACACACAAGGCTGCACACACAGTCACAGGGAGCACCACTCTTCATAAGTCAGTGTGCCAAAAGACATTGTCTTGTGTATATCAGGAGCTGTGCAACTGGTGCTATCCTGACTACGTGCATTGCCACGTCTGGTATTTCATCATGGACAACAAGTTAGAACAAAGAGCAAACATGAAATTCTGTGTGAAACTGGGCAAATCTGCCACAGAGATGTTTGACATGATTCAGCAAGTTTACGGCGATGCTGCAATGACTTTGAGGTGCTTTAAGAAGCACACACACTTCAAGAGCAGAAGAACATCACTGGAAGGCAACAAGAGATCAGGAAAACCTTCAACGAGCTAAAGCCCGAAAATGCCATCTTCCGGAAGATGACGATCCAGCTGAAAGGTTGCTATCTTGACAATATTATGGAGATCCAGCGAATTGTCCAGTTTCACGCAGAATTTCACATTTTCTCTTTGTTTTAAATTGCTGTCTATGATGAAATAGCAGACTTGGTAATGTACATGGTCAGAATAGCACCAGTTGCACCGCTTCCAATGTACACAAGATGATGTCTTTAGGTACACTGACTTAGGAAGATTGGTGGTCCCTGTGACTGTGCATGCAGCCGTGTGCTGCCACCTGTTGGCGTGTTACAAAACTAGTCTCAAAACTTTTGATACCACCTTGTATATGGATGTGTACATTTGAAAGCCTCAATCAATGCAGCTCTTCAAGCCATGCCTCCTGACATGTTTTGCCCGCCCTGATATGGTTTGCCTTAATCATAGATTTTTTTTTTTTTAAATTCCCTTTAACATGATTGGGAATTCAAAATGAAAACAGCCTTTACCTCATTTACTGAACTAAGGGAACATTCATATTGCTCAGTGAAGGTCTCTCTTCCTTTAGTACAGTGGTCTCCAAACTGTGGCCCGGGGGCCGGATACGGCCCTTTATTTGCTTTTATCTGACCCTTGGGTTATTATTCCCCCCACTGTCAGCAACAGTGAGGCAATAGTTCACTCACTGACACCAATGAAGGGACACTATTCCTCCCATCGATACCAAAGATAGGGCACTATTCTCCCCTCTGACATCAATGGTGGGGCATTATTCTTCCCACTGATACCAATGATGGGACACTATTCCTCCCACTGATACCAACGATGGGGCATTATTCCTCCCTATGATGGGGCACTATTCCTCCCTATGATGGGGCACTATTCCTCCATATGATAGAGCACTATTCCTTCCACTGATACCAATGATGGGGCACTAGTCCTCCCACTGATACCAATGATGGGGCACTATTCCTCCCACTGATACCAATGATGGGGCACTATTCCTCCCACTGACACCAACAATGGGGCATTATTCCTAACATAGTTAATAACAAAGAGGCACTATTCACCCCCCTAATACCAATGATGGGGCACTATTCCTTCCATTGACACCAATGATGGGACACCCATCCTCCCACTGACACCAATGATGGGGCACTATAACTAACATTAACAACAAAGAGACACTATTCATCCCTCTAATACCAATGATGTGGCACTATTCCTCCCATTGACACCAATGAGGGGGCACTATTCCTTCCATTGATACCCGCAAAGGGGCATTATTACTCCCCCTAATACCAGTGATGGGGCATTGCTTACTCCCACTGATGCCAGGGCACACTTTTCTCCCACCTGCTACAGTCAGGCCCCCGTAGAGTTTGAAGACAGTAATATGGCCCTTTGTTTAGAAAGTTTGGAGACCCCTGCTTTAGTAAATCAATCCAATCTTCAGTTAGCTTAGTGAAAAAGGAGAGGCTATGTTCACTATGAATATCCAATAAAATGCAAAGAAAATACCAATTTAAAAAAAAACATGATTTTTGCATCCATTTGATTTGATCATTAACTACTTCCCGCCCGGCCTATAGTAAAATGATGGCCAGTCGAGCCTCTCGTCCCTCTGGTAGGGCGTCATATGATGTCCTTCCCAGATCGCCGATTGCACGTGCCCGCAGGGCCACGTTGTGGCGAGATCTGTCACCGGCTGTGTACCTCGGACACGGCCGATGACAGATCTGTGTACCGACCCGTTGCCAGTACCATGTGACCTGCTGTGCCATCCACTGTATACAAGTGTGTCTAGCTGTGAATGTTCACAGTGATTCCATGCACAGGTTGGGCAAATCACAGCCAATCTGTGTCATGTAATTTGCTGTGGCCAATCACAGCGAATCACAACAAAATCTGAATTAACCAATTTCATTCAGCTAAATGCTTGCTTATAGCAATAATTCTTTGCTATAAGCAATCAAATTGTGTAAAAAAACAAAACAAAAAAATGATCACTTCCCTAAAGTAGTACAATGTTACTATGGTAACATTATACTACTTTGGGCATAGTGTAATATGAAAAAAAATCTTTAAAAAAGAGAAAACAATTTAATAAAAAATAATAAAGTCAGTGTCCCTATTCACCACCACACCAGTTATATGCTGATGCTATACTGCACTGGTGGCAGTATGTAAAAACAAATTCTGAAAATAATCTTTTTTTCCTTTTCCAAACAATTATGACAAAAAAAGTTACTACTTCAAAAAACTCGCCATACATCTTATGAAATAAGTCAGACTATCTACTCTGCAAAAAGGGGTTATTTGGGGGATATCTGTACTGTTCTGACATTTTTGGGCCTCAAGAAATTAGATTGGCTGTCAGTAATTCAGGATTGATCAATTTTCAGGTATATACCATAGTTTGTGAACTCTATAACTTTCCTACAAACTAAATAATACATCCTGATTTGGGTTATTTTCACCAAAGACATGTAGCAGAATATATCTTGCAAATGTTTATAACAGAAACAAAGAAAAATGTAGGTTTTGTTTTACATTTTTGGTCTTTTTTTGTTAATTTAGCAAAAAATAAAAACCCCAGTGGTAATTAAATACCACCAAAAAAAAGCTCTAGTTATGTGAACAAAATGATAAAAATTTAGTTTGGGTACAGTGTTGCATGACCGCACAATTGTTATTCAAAGTGTGAGAGCGTTGAAACCTGAAACTTGGTCTGGGCAGGAAGGGGGTAAAAGTGCCCAATATTGAAGTGGTTAAAGTGAATCACATTCCAGCTTCACTGTATTCATTAACCTAAGTGAATATCCATTTGGACGCGTTTCTTCACCGATCACGTGACTTTATCAAGGAGATCTCCTTGATCCTTGGAGGGAGGGGATAGGTACAGGAGGAAATGGCTGTGGGGGATGGAGTGGTAGGAGGAGTGGAGGAGATCGGCTGTTAGGTGAAGGCTGGGTAGGCTTCCCTGAAGAGATGGGTTTTCAGGGTGCGCCTAAAGGTGAGGAGGGTAGATGACAGTCTGATGGATTGGGGTAGTGAGTTCCAGAGGATGGGGAAAGACCTGGAGTCGGGCATGGGAGGAGGAGACCAGGGAACTGGAGAGTAGAAGGTCTTGTGAGGAGCAAAGAGTACGTGTTGGGTGGTATTTGGATATCAGGTCGGTGAGGTAGTTTGGGGCAGTATTATGGATAGCTTTGTACGTCAATAGTAGTAGGAAGCCAATGGAGGGAATGACAGAGGGGGGTGGCAGAAGTGGAGCGGTTGGTAAGGTGGATAAGTCTGGTTGCTTGGTTCAGGATAGATTGAAGCGGGGATAGTCTGTGATGAGGCAGGCCGGTGAGGAGGGAGTTGCAGTAATCGAGTCGTGAGATAATAAGGGAGTGAACAAGTTGTTTAGTAGTGTCTGGGGTTAGGAACGAACGTATTTTGGAGATGTTGCGGAGGTGGAGCCTGCATGAATTTGCCAGCAGTTGGACATGGGGCTGGAAGGACAGATTGGAGTGTAGAGTGACGCCTAGAACTTTGGCTTGGGTGGGACTGATGGTGGCGTTGTTGGTCGTGATGGAGAGGTTGGGGGGGGGACTCGGGCTGGGGGGAAAACTAGGAGCTCGGATTTGGAAAGGTTTAATTTGAGGAAGTGGAGTGACATCCAGCCTTATATGTCATTGTATAATGTAAGGTCACACTGTTGGAGGTGAGCAGATATTGGGTGGAGGAATTAGCGCACCTATTCTCTGTGATAATTACACCTGGTGGTCACAGAAAGAAGGGTTTTTTAAAGAAGAATATATTTGGACTTTTTTATTATTATTATTTTATTATTATTTTTTATGTTTATGGTTATTTTTATCGGTCCTTCTGATATATGGATTGGTTAAATTTTTTTCACTTAAAATTTATTTCACTTTAATATATGATTATTATTATTGTGTAGCGCAGCACTGGTATTATATATACCATTTATATTTCACAATTTGCCCAATAATTGAGACATAGGTCTTGTGCACTAGCAGCTACTATTATTGATATACAAATATATAGTATTAACCATAGTAAGCGCTTACATTTTTTAATTATAATTTTATATTGCTTTCAGAAAATATTTATAATTTGGGAGGGTTGTGTAATCTTTAGGCCTGAAATAATTTTTTAAGCATGTGTGGAAAAAATGCAAAAACTGCTCTGCCAGTGAAGGGGTTTATACCACTTTAAGCCTACAGCATTGAAGTCAATACATTTCTGTTTCCCTAAAGAAACATTTTAACAGGTCAATAAAATTATAGTTTGCTATAATAATGAAGGTAAGTTAATAGTATGCTCCTAGCTTGTAAAAATAATTAATCTCAAAGGACGGGGATGTTCTGTTCATTCTAATAAGAAGTCTTATAAATCATCAGATAATCCTAATCATTTTTTTAGTTCATTCATTATCCATAGTACAAATTGTCATTATTTGGTTTCCTCTTCTTTCCTTATAGCGCATATACAGGTGAAACTCTAAAAATTAGAATATTGTGCAAAAGTTCATTTATTTCAGTAATGCAACTTAAAAGGTGAAACTAATATATGAGATAGACTCATTACATGCAAAGCAAGATAGTTCAAGACGTGATTTGTCATAATTGTGATGATTATGGCTTACAGCTCATGAAAACCCCAAATTCACAATCTCAGAAAATTAGAATATTACATGCAATCAATAAAACAAGGACTGTACATAGAACAATATCGGACCTCTGAAAAGTAGAAGCATGCATATGTACTCATTACTTGGTTTGGGCCCCTTTTGCAGCAATGCGGCGTGGCATGGAAGCTATCAGCCTGTGGCACTGCTGAGGTGTTATGGAAGACCAGGATGCTTCAATAGTGGCCTTCAGCTCTTCTGCATTGTTCGGTCTCATGTCTCTCATCTTTCTCTTGGCAATGCCCCATAGATTCTCTATGGGGTTCAGGTCAGGGCGAGTTTGCTGGCCAATCAAGCACAGTAATCCCACGGTCATTGAACCAGATTTTGGTGCTTTTGGCAGTGTGGGCAGGTGCCGAATCCTGCTGGAAAATGAAGTCAGCATCCCCATAAAGCTTGTCTGCGGAAGGAAGCATGAAGTGCTCCAAAATCTTCTGGTAGACGGCTGCGTTGACCCTGGACTTAATGAAGCACAGTGGACCAACACCAGCAGATGACATGGCTCCCCAAATCAACACAGACTGTGGAAACTTCACACTGGACTTCAAGCATCTTGCAGTGTGTGCCTCTCCATTCTTCCTCCATACTCTGGGTCCTTGGTTTCCAAATGAAATGCAAAAAAACGCTCTCATCAGAAAAGAGGACTTTTGACCACTGAGCCACAGACCAGGTCTGGTCTTCTTTAGCCCAGGTAAGACGCTTCTGACGTTGTTTGTTGTTCAGGAGCGGCTTGACAAGAGGAAGACGACATTTTAAGCCCATGTCCAGGATCCGTCTGTGTGTGGTGACTCTTGATGCACTGACTCCAGCCCAGCATCAGTCCACTCCTTGTGAAAGTCCCCAACACTTTTGAATGGCCTTTTCCTGACAATCCTCTCCAGGCTGCGGTCATCCTTGCTGCTTGTGCACCTTTTTCTTCCCCACTTTTCCTTTCCACATAACTTTCTATGAATGTGCTTTGATACAGCACTTTGGGAACATCCAACTTCTTTTGCAATTACCTTTTGAGGCTTTCCCTCCTTATGGAGGGTGTCAATGATGATTTTCTGCACAACTGTCAGGTCAGCAGTCTTTCCCATGATTGTGATTCCTACTGAACCAGACTGAGAGACCATTTAAAGGCCCAGGAACCCTTTGCAGGTGTTATTGCTTAATTAGCTGATTAGAGTGGGACACTTTGAGCCGAGAATATTGCACCTTTTCACAATATTCTCATTTTCTGAGATTTGTAGATTTGGGGTTTTCATGAGCTGTAAGCCATAATCATCACAATTATAAC